AGTCCCCCACCACGGCCAATCTTGCCGATCAGGACCCAATTTCACCAATGGGATGTGGTTCCCCTTGTGGCTGATTGTGAAGTGGCCGCGGCACTCCTTCTCCCTGGCTGGTGCTCGCAGGGGGGGCATCAGTGCTCCCACCTGCCACCCCACCCATGGCCTGAGAAGCATGTGTGGTCAGTCAGGGGGTGCACTGGCACTCTTGTGCACTCCCTACGCATTGCCACTGGTTTGTATATCTCCTTAAATTGAATGTGTGGCATGTCCCTATACTGTGACACTTCAGGGTTGATGCCCAAGAATCAGCTGATTGTTTGAATCAGCTCTGGACAGCCATGGTCTCCACCTGACCTGCTGACAATATTGTCGGCATTAGTCTGGGGAAGCCCAGGTCTCCAGCAGGCTGGGGGCTTCTTGGGGTTGCAGGGGGAAGGATGAGAGGCTGTAGCTGGGGGAAGCTGAAGGACTTCCCTTATTGAGGAGTTTAAACCCCATGCCCAACAGGTCTGGCTGGGTACCAGGGATCAGAAGCTCCCAGCAGGGGGAGTAAAAGGGCTTTCCCTGTGGGAACTTTAAACTCTACACCTAACTGTAGTTTAATGTTCCTGGCAGGGGAAGCCACTGGTAGTGACAGCTGATTGTTGTCCAGACAGTTGTGGGTGAACCAGACCTGGGACTGTCTGGGGTTGTGGCTAACATCAGCTGATTGTTGGCCCTGGTCCCTGGACAGCTCTGGGTCTGGAACTGGCCAATTGTTTAGGCCAAGGCCAAAAGTCAACTGATTATCAGCTCCACAGGTGGGTCTGCAGGAACCCAGATTTCAATTTACCAGTGAACAGGGATTATGGCATGATTGTGATCTCAAAATCATACCTCCTGCCATGCACTTGTGCCATGGCAGGAAGTGTGATTGTTGGGACAGGGGATCATTGCAGCATTAATTAAATGTGAGCCAGGGCCATAGAAAAAATTTGAGTTATTCATTAAGTTCCAGCCAGTCTCTTTAGCTTTGTTAAAAGAAATGCTCACATCAGGTGGATTATGTTATGATAATTCAAATTGTCATGCTCAGCTCTCAGAAAAGCACTAGATTTTTGCATATTTAAAAACTGAGTGTTTAATGCATCTTGCCTCTTTTTTTCAAACCAGTAGACTTCTGCCAGTTTGCATACGGTACAGATATAACCTGTCCAAATTCCATGTTTGAATTTGCAATTTTTTTTCAAAGGGGACAAGTTACTATGGTATAGGAGGTTTTTAGCAGTTATTCTTAAATATCGTTAGGCTTAATCAGACATCTAAATAATGTAAAAAATCCCACAGATGGCACGGGGGGAGAAAATCTAAGAACCAATCAATAAATCAGTCTTTCCATTAATCAGGTTTGGGCTTTTTAAAACTCCTGTTAATTCTAGTGGTAGTTGCATAGCCTTCCTCCTAAATGACTTTGAAAATCTCAGCTGCAGTGATTTTCATCTGTGAAGGGCTTAGTTCTGAGGCATGCTCTGCTTCTTTGGTATCACTCCTATGATGCCAAGGGGAATAGCAGGGTGGATTCTTTGCTTACAATGCACAATGTAACATATCTTTCACTGTGGCTTATGAATGAACTAATACTCATATTTCATGCTGTAAAATTTGTCCTTTCCAGTCATATTGAAAATAGAAACCCACTATCTAAAGCATTTTCACATGGTAACCTTTCAGGTCCTAAAGGAGAGACAGGGGATGCAGGCCTTCAAGGTTTACCAGGAATTCCAGGATTTCAAGGTCCAAAAGGCTTCAAAGGAGAAAAGGGTAGGTCATATTAACTGCTTATTTAAAATGAAAATATTATTTCTTGCATGAAATGCTTTTAGTTCAATAGAAAAAAATGTAGGAGAAATTAATTTGCAATATGATATAATTGTGTTGGTGCAAATTAATACCAACCAATAATAAACAAATTAATAATAGTAATGAGAAAATCCAACAGCATATCATGGAGTAGGAGTAGCCCAACATGGTATGAAATAGATTTAAATAGTTGAGAAAATGGATGTTTATAAAGGCCTGATCTAAAGCTCTTGACTTCAGTGGACTTTGGATCAGACCCATGTGTATGAAGCTTCATGGTAGCTACCAGTAAGCACAGAAGCTGCTTTTCAAAGTTAAATGTCTCAGATCAAATCAACTGTATCTGAATAAGGGGGGTAAAGTTATCCATTAGTTGCATCTTCATGAAAAGACTCCTATTCATTTTGGTAGTCTTCAGAACAGGTCCATAATGGTCATTCTGTCCTATATCATTCTAACTGGGTGCATCTACATGTTAGAATGATAACATGCATGCATGCATGTAGGTGCATCTACATCTACACATGCATTGGTATTAGGGCACAGTAAACTAATTGACTCTGCCATAGGAAAATACTGTTGGGGTAAATACTATCTTATGGCAGAGTACTGTGCTGAAGCACATGTGTAGAAAGAGCCCAGGGGTGTAATTTGTACCCAACTAGCCCAGTCAGCCAGGGGCTTGCTCCACCCTGGCTCAAATTGCTGCTGTCACAGGTGCATGTTTAGATGCTGTGCCTGGGAGCAGTTGACTCCAGTGCAAACTGCTCTAGAGTTTTTTGCATTGCCCAAGAGTAAAAGGGAAGCTGGGTGACAGTGACCATGAGTTGATCACTTTCACTATTCATCGCAAAGCTGGCAAGTTGGCCAGCAATGCAGTCATTCTTGACTTTAGGAAAGCTGACTTTCGTAAGTTCAGGAGGCATGTTCATGAAGCCCTGAGAAGTCATGATTTCACAGGTAGGGGAGTTCATGATGACTGGTTGCTCCTTAAGGAAGTGATCCTAGAAGCACAAGGGGAGTCCATCACCACCCATGAGAACAGTGGTAGAAGGGCTCAACAACCCCCTTGGCTCAACAGGCAACTCATGGACCTCCTATGTTTAAAAAGAGAGTGGCATATAATGGATGGAAGACAGGAAACACCACTAAGGAGGAGTATACTGCACTGGTCTGCAGATTCAGGGAGCTAACTAGAAAAGCCAAGGCTGCAACTGAACTTCATCTGGCTACACAAATCAAGGACAATAAAAAGTCCTTCTTCAGATGTATGGGTAGTTGAAAGAAAAACAAGGGCAACATTGGACCCCTGCTAAACCAGCTGGGACAGCTGACTACTGACACCCAGGAAAAAGCCAATCTGCTTAATGATTACTTTGCGTTGGTTTTTCACCAGCCCAAAGGGACCACCCTGCTGAACATGATGCGGGATGACTAGGGTGAAGATGAATATATGCCCGCCATTGGCGTGGATCTTGTGAGGGAGCATCTTGAGAGGCTGGACCCCCATAAATCAGCTGGTTTGGATAAGTTGCACCCAAGAGTGCTAAAGGACCTGGCAGACATTCTAGCACAGCAACTGGTGAGGATATTCAAGAACTTGTCACACTCAGGGGAAGTACCTGAAGATTGTAAGAGGGCCAATGTGGGGCCCATCTTCAAGAAACGGAGGAAAGAAGACCCAGAAAACTACAGGCTAATCAGTTTAACTTCAATCCCTGGGAAGATTTTGGAAAAAATTGTCAAAGAAACCATTCTTGACAGGCTAACAGAAGGCAACTTTCTGAGGGATAGCCAGCATGGGTTTGTTGTGGATAAGTCTTGCTTGACCAATCTCATTTCATTCTATGACCAGGTGACACCTGGACAAAAGGGAAGAGGTTGATGTCATATATTCAGACTTTAAAAAAGCCTTTGACCTGGTGTCCCATGATGTCCTCATGGAAAAATTGGGCAGCAGCGGCCTTGACTACTCCACAGTCCGATGGCTGGAGAACTGGCTCTGTGGTTGGACCCAGAGAGTGGTAGTTGACAGAACCGAATCAACTTGGCACTCAATGACTAGTGGCATTCTCCAAGGCTTTGTTCTCAGACCTTTACTCTTTAATGTCTTCATAAACAATGTGAACACTGGTGTCAAAAGCAGACTGGCCAAGTTTGCTGATGACACCAAACTTTGGGGAAGAATGTCCACACTTGATAGGCTGGTGATCCAGGCTGACCTTGGTAGGCTTGCAAGGTGGGCAGTTGAAAACCTGATGGCATTCAATATGGAGAAATGCAAGGTGCTCCACTTTGGGAATAACAACCTGCATTACACTTATAGGCTCAGCAGTGCTACACTTGCTAGCACCACTTGCTAGCACTCACTAGCTACTGCTACACCAGGGGAGTACATCAAGGGCTCGGTGAACAACTGTTCACCAGAGCACCTGAGGGGAAAACCAGGAGTAATGGACACAAACTCCTGAAAGATTGATTCAGGCTCAACATTAGGGAAAACTTCTTCACAGTCAGGGTTTCCAGACTGTGGAATAAGCTCCCTCCAGAGGTGGTGTAATCACCTACCCTGGAAATCTTAAGGAGGAGACTAGACGGTCACCTTGCTGGGGTAACCTGACCCCCTGTTATCTTTCCTGCTTCGTGTAGGGGGCTGGACCCGATGATCTTCCAAGGTCCCTTCTGACTTTACAATCCTATGAATCTATGAACAATAACTGAAAGAGACTTGGGGTCATGACTGACCACAAGATGAAGATGAGCCACCAAAGTGATACCGCAGCTGGCAAAGTGAACAAAACACTGGCTTGCATCTACCAATGCATCTTGAGCAAGACCCAGGATGCCATCCTCCTGCTGTACTTGGTGAGGCCACAGCTGGAGTACTGCATCCAAGTCTGGGCTCCACAATGTAGGAAGGATGTGGAGAAGTTTGAAAGAGTCCAGAGGAGAGCCATGCACACGATCAGAGGGCAAGGGAGCAGGCCTTATGAAGAGAGGCTGCACGCTATGGGACTCTTCAGCCTGAAGAAGCATGGACTCAGGGGTGATTTGGTGGCAACGTGTAAGTAAGTAAGAGGTGTGCATCAGGATCTGGGGGAACACCTGTTCACCAGAGCACCCCAGGGGATAACAACGTCCAATGGTCATAAACTCTTGCAAAGCTGTTTTAGGCTGGACATAAGAAAAAACTTCTTTACTGTCTGAGCTCCCAAGGCCTGGAACAGACTCTCCCAGAAGTGGTGCACGCACCTACTTTGGACACTTTCAAGAAACATTTGGACATTTATCTTGCTGGGATCCTTTGACCCTAGCTGACTTCCTGCTCCTTGGGCAGGGCTGGACCCAGTGACCTTACAATATCCCTTCCAGCCCTAACGTCTATAAAATCTATGAAATTAATTGCTCATGTAGATGCACCCACTGGCCATGTCCAGAAGAGCATGGATGTTTGGTTCTCCAGGGACAAGTAGCAGTGGTGAACCTTGTGCTTCAGCTACTTGTCCCCCGAGAATGTCTGTGCCACACATGGCCCCAGCAGCATTACCTGGGGGTCTGGGAGCCTCTTAGGGCTGCAGCAATGGTGATCCTGCTGGGTGGAGCCTGGCTGGCAGCTAGAGCACAGCTCTGGTGTGTTGGCTCCTCCTCTGAGCAGCGCATGCTTCTTGTGTGTGTGTGCTGCTCTGCCTTTTTTCCCCCCACAGGTCTTTTTGTCTCCTCGATATCCAGGGATCAAAAAACCCTGCAGAAACAGAAGTGGAGCAGCGCCCGCAAGGGCAGTGCTTCCTTGCAGTGGGTAGAGCACCTGAGTGTCCGGTATGTGGTGCTCGACACATGTTGGGGGCACCACATACTGCATAGCTGCGCTTGACTGCATGCGCCCAGAGTGTTCTAGCTCTTGTCTTGTACACAGAGAAAACATACATCCAAGACTTTCTTTAAAAATGTCTTTATTCAGAAAAGAGATATTATTCAAAGAGATGCTGTCTAGTTTGCAGTTCTGTGATGTCTTAGCCTGTCAAACTATCACTTCTCTTAGTTATGGTTACTGTAGGTAAAATGGACTCAGAGACTTGTGTGCAATATCAAAGCGAAGGATGAGTCCTCCAGAGTAACAGCACTCAGACATCCTATAAATACTGCAGAAAAGCTTATTCCCTGGTTAATAATACTATATTGGCAATAAGCACAAGTTCTCCATCAGGCTATGTACCCCCTTCAGTGCCTATGCTGATTACAGTGTGTTTTGTGTGGGTGGTATTGATTGTTTTAATCATTTACCTTGGAGATCTGTATCTTTATCTTATGAGAGAATGAGTATGATCATCATATTAGATTTCTGATGCTCTGGGCACAATTCAGCTCAATTGTCTGTTTCTGTCCAAAATTTCAGGGTATTGGAACAGCAGAGGAAAACTGAGCTGTACTGGCAGAACTGAAGAGTTGCTTGCATGGCATTTGCATACATTATGTTTTGCTGAAGCCGGTGCTATTAATCTGTCTTCTATAATCACTAAAGGGAGTGCTTATAAACCCTCTTTCTTTTATCTATGTAACTGCAGTTTGGTAGAGAGTGGGGAGGGTGCTCCCACCTTTTAGCTCAATAGTTCAGGAGTCAGACAATGGCCCAGAGAATAGGTTTTATATTCTCAAGAAGCAGAAAGATTGAATTTACATCTTGGGCTTTCCAGCAAATTATTCTACCTGTACCCAATGGTGCAGAAACTTCTTCAGTGCACTTTTTCCTTTTTAGCGGAAGAACAGTAAATGCAAAGTGAAGTGAGCTAGCTTTAAGAAGCAGGTTGGAGGACTAATGCCAAACCTGCAGCTTGGTGGTTAGAGCACTTTGCTAGTGAGTAAGTGATATAGGTTCAACACCCCCTGGCTGACTAGGCCTAAATCCTGGGTCTCCTGTTTTTTGGGCAAGTGACCTAACCACTAGGCAACTGGGGAAAAGGTGGGAGGACCATCTCTTTTTGGCATCTAGCATGTGCTGGTTGTGGCTTTTCTGGGACAAGCATTTTGGGACTTTCCCATCCTTTTGCACATACCTAAGTGAACTTATGTTGCTAGGCAGATACCTGGCTGGAGTGCAACCTTAATGAGTACGTGTGCAATCTTGTATGCACAGAGCTTATCACAAACTATAGGTGCCAAAAGCTACATATACAGGGAAATAAGATTTAGATCTCAATGTATTTGAACACCTTTTTCAGAAAGGGAGGAAGAATGACAAAAGACTATCATACAATTTGTTTTCTATGATATCACCTCTGGATTAAGACTTTCTAGAGCTGTAGGCCTAAACTAATGTTACTTAATACGATGGCTATCAGCTTCTCTAGTTGGTCATGAAAATAATTATTTGCTTTCACTGTCAGATATCACTGAAAATGTACAGTATATTTGTTTCTTAAGCATTAGGATGAATTGGACAATTCTGAATGTACAATGTGGTGTTGATCACTGTGAAAACCCTGAGTGAATCTTCAGCTCAGGGTTTTCAAGAAATCCTTGGGACTGTAGTTCCTTAAGTTTGTTTTTATTAAAGTAGAGAGAGAGACACACACACACAGAATAAATCACATGTTGTATAATAGAAGTTGTCACAAATAACAACTCTACCAGCATATTAATGTCAATAATGTTTTAGGAGATAAAGGAGAACATGGTGACCAAGGAACAAATGGAATTCCAGGGTATCCAGGCAAACCAGGAGAACCAGGTATGTAACCAGGTATACCTTGAGCACTTAAGAATGCTGCTCTATTTCCATATTTATTTTGGTTTTCTGTTATTGGGAAATATCTGGAAATCTGTTTTTAGTTTTTACTCAGTTCTTATTCAGGAAAAATGCTCACTATAGGCAGCAGGAGCTGTGCATAAGTTAGGACAGGAAAACAACTAATAAATGTAACTTCACTGAAGTTACATTTTTTATATTTATTATCTACTGACCTATGGTTATGGTATATATCTACTGAACTATGGTGCAGTTTTCATCATTTTATTTTGTCAAGTATATATACAGCATAAACTGTAGTTTTTTCTAACATAGGATTGGATGAGGACACAACTGGCTGGTACAAACTATCCAGGCAATATCTTTTGATTACTCAGCCAAACTACTGAGTCATATTCAGAGGAGTGAGTGAATGTGCATGTGTGTGTATATAAGTGTGTATGTGCACACACAGAGGAAGAAGCTCTTATAGGGGAGCAGTTTCCCAGAGGAAAATATATTGAAGATAGGAATTGTAGAAACTCGGCACATTGTGCAGAAAGGAAAATTATTCTTCAGCAAAAAGCAACTTTGAGACAGGGATGGGAGGCCCCCCCACCCCAGATGTTAGATTGAATCCTCAGGGGCAGTTAAATTACACCAAAAACACAGGAAAGCAAAAAAGAAGCCAACACTAGTTTCTGTTCCGTAGCTCCTGCTGTTGCTCTGTACAGACAAGTTCCCTTGTACTGTGGTAGAGCAGCCTTGAGTTGCTGTAACATAAGCAATGGGAAGAGTGTGCTGGAAAAACAACAAGGTTAGGGACAGACATTACACATAAACCAGTTTAAGTGATTAGAAACTGGTCTAAACCTGTAACAGAACAGCTGCTCAGTGCACATAAGCCAGTTTAAGAATGGATGAAACTGGTTTGAGATAAACCTGGTCGAATGTAGTATCAGACTTAACTGATTTGGGTCAAATTGGTTTATGCAATGTCTGTCCCAGACCCCTTCCTGGTTTAAGTTAAATCAGAATCTTCCAGCATCCCAGATGCCTTGCAACTCTGGGTGGGGCTCTGTGCTCTGCTCCTGCTCAGCAGAGCTGGCCCCACCTCTCTGCTCCCTGGCTGCAGCTCTGGCAGAGACTGCAGGTACAGTGGGGTCTGCCTGGCTTCCTCCTGCTCCCCCACCCCCTCTCCCTGCCTTACATAGACATCTCTCAGCATTAGCTAGCATACCACATGCTGGCTACAGTCCATGCTGTGGGAGAGCTGACAAAGGGAGACAGGACAGTGTTGCCTTTTGGGGCTAATCAACGGGTAGCTGCTAATCAACAGGTAGCTGGTAATGTCCCTCATTTCCTTCCCTGGAAAAAGTTGTTTAAGAGTTTGAATTAATGGAGAGAGGCTGTTGTTTTGTTGATGGGCTCATAAACACTAAGTACAGGAAGATAAACACTGTGTTATCAACTCCCTGCTGGGCTTGTCAGGAGTGAGGGGAGTGGGGAACCTTTCTTAATCAGAGCCTCTTGCCTGGGCCTGGCCATGCCCTCCCTCAGCTCAGTGCTATGGAAGGGAAGAGAGGGTTGCTCTAAGTACCCCCCCAACAGCTTCTAGCCTGCATTTCTTCAGTCCAGAGGGGATGTCTGTGTGGTTACAAACTAGTTTAGCCTAGTCAGTTTAGACTAACTTTCAAAGATTAAATCAATTCAAGATTAGGCTTTTTGAATGTTTGTCCCAAGCCCAAAGGTCAGCATAATGCAAAGTTGTCCTTGCCACATCCCCTTGCATACAGCCACAACCTTTTCTCTTTGCTGTCTTAATAGCTGATAAATATAGAGTGTAAGAAGTTCTGTTTAGGTTCAAACCAGTAGATGATTACCTTCATGTGGGACAATTTTATTTTGCCTAGTTAAAATGGCTTTAAGACCAAATCACACCAGGAGCCACATAGTGCTAGAGAACCTCACCCTCTATCAATATGGACTCATGTCTAGGTATTGCATATTTAGTTAATTTCCCCCCCACTGTATGTCAAGCTTCATTTTCATGGCAATTACTTTTTAAAAACTGCCTACTCTTTCTGGTTTTCTCTTTTTTATGTTCTTATCCAGAGTATTTAACATTTATATCTGTTCCTGCTAAAATGTGACATGTCAATGATGAGTCCAAAGCTAGTTGTACCACTTGCCTAGTGTTTATTTTTTATTATTATTTGCTTTTTTTTTTTTTAGGTGAAACTGGAGCTAAAGGTGATAAAGGAAACCATGGCCCTCCCGGCATTAAAGGACAAAAAGGAATAAAAGGGGACACTTGTGATAACGGAACCAAAGGAGAGAAGGGAGATAAGGGAGAGCTGGGGTTACCAGGGTTAGATGGGGAAAATGGAGATAAAGGAGAAAAGGGAGATATGGGTGAAAAGGGGCATTGTGGAGAGCCAGGGGAGAGAGGGGAAAAGGGGGACAAGGGGGAAGTTGGAATGAAAGGTGAAAAGGGCAGCAAAGGAGATATTGGAATTGAGGGTATTCATGGTACAGATGGGGAACAAGGAGAAAAGGGTGCACCTGGCAGTAAGGGTGAAAAAGGGGACTTAGGGCCACTTGGTATGATGGGACCTCTTGGTCCAAAGGGAATTCCTGGGAGCAAAGGAGCCCGGGGAGCTCCTGGAAAGAAAGGTGCCAGAGGTGTCAAAGGTTCCAAGGGTGACAATTCAAAAGTCCCAAGATCAGCTTTCAGTGCTAGCTTGTCAAAGGCTTTCCCACCCCCAAACATGCCTATTAAATTTGACAAGATTTTGTACAATGACCAGGAGGATTATAATCCTTCCACAGGGAAGTTCAACTGCAGCATTCCTGGAGCATATGTCTTCACTTATCACCTGACAGTCAGAGGTCGGCCCGCTCGAATAAGCATTGTGGCACAAAATAAAAAGATGGTCAAAACTCGGGAAACCTTGTATGGTCAAGAAATAGATCAGGCATCTTTCTTGATTATTTTGAAATTAAATGCAGGGGATCAGGTTTGGTTGGAAGTAGCACGGGATTGGAATGGGGTTTATGTCAGTGCTGAGGATGATAGCATATTTACGGGCTTTCTTTTGTATCCAGATGATGTTTTTGAGACTCTAGTATAAACCTGTGGTGTTAAACACATTTTCAAGAGACATTTCTTTAACTCTGACTGTCAAAAAAGGAGAAAGGAAGTGTCACTTTAGTGAATTAGATTTCATAATCTTTTTATAAAAATAATTTATTTGTAATAAACTGATTAATTTTAACTAAACGGACCGAAGAGGTGGAGCCTGCTTCTCTGCAAGTGCTAATTGCTATGATCACACATAGAAATATTACTCAAGTGCAAAGAGACAGGGGTCTTCACAATCCTGCTAGAGGACTGACTTATTAAAATTACACATTGATATTCATGGTGTTAGATCAAGCCAAATCTTGCAGTCCTTACACAGTCAAAACTTGTATGGGAGTCACCATTGAAGATACTGAATTTTGGGGGTTTAGATAAGGATTGTAGCATTTGACTCATAAAGATTAATCAGATACAATTGCAAGTAACAGGTTTCTCCAAATCATATTAATAGATTGGAAAGTGTTTGCTCATCAAACCAGACTTATGTAGTGCTTTCTACATGGTAATGCATGAAATAAATGTTTGACGTAGGCTTTTACACTGATTGAACAACGTTGATATAATATATCTGTTCAAATTACTATTGTACTTATGAGACCTTAGTATCTTTGTAACATTCAAAAATAAATTAAGATGATTGCTTAACCTACTTTTTGTTTGCATTACACAGAAAAAAAAAATCAATATGCTGCTTGACAACATAACAGTTGATGGAACTATGATCATAAAAGTCCTATGATTTTCTGAATGTTTAATAAACATGGGCATTCAGAATGGGCATTTTTTTGAACTCCTTAACCAAGCAAGACTGTATTTAGGAAAGCAGAAATATGGAATTCAGCTAATTATTTGGATAATGGCTTCATTTCCTGATTAGCTTAAGTAGTACTGGGCAGCAGGTAATTAATTCCTTCCCTCACACTGATTAACTGTTAAACCCTTTCTAGAATTTCAGGAAAATATTTGGTAGATTCAACAATATATAGAACTGTTGTGATTGCTCTCTTATTGCCATGAAGTGATGTCACAGATTCCTCTCTCCTAAGACAGGGTGCTCAGACTGCCATTCTTTAGGAAGTCTCATGGTTACACAAGTCATGCTTTCAAAAGAATGACCAATAATGCATCTTTGATCCTGGAAGCAAAAGCTTCTTGTGAACCACTCACTCAGTGTGATGCAATCTCAAACACAGCACTCTTCAATGAACACACAAGATGAAAAAAAAAGGAAATTAAAAGGCTTTTCCTCCTATCCCCTTTTCCCTTTCCCCCAACTGGAAAAGAATTGAGGAGTATCAAGGAAACAAAAACAATTAATCTCCAAATTTAGAAATCATTAAATCAAAACTGAATTAGAACTCAATATGGGCACCAAACTGGGGGTGATGGTGTTTTCAGGGCACAGAGCAGAGGATAGGAAGATAGGGAAATGATCTGAACCTCAGGGTTAAACCAAGACCATGTTGAAACCAGCATGGAGACAGATTGTTTCACTTCTGTTTACTGTGGGCCCCTGGCTCCTTCCTGTGAAGCCTCTGGTTATGGTCACTATCAGAGGCAGAAAACTGGATTAGACTTTAGGGCTAATCTGCTAATGCAATTTGTATGTTCTGTTATAGGCAGCTTGGGCAAGTGGTGCCTCCTGGGTCTGGGGGGGCACCAGATCACCTCCAGGACCACCAGTAGCTGATTGCCAAGCCCGGATCTGCCAGCAGCAAAACCGGACGTGTGCTTCTGCTGGCGCTTCCAGTTTTGCGGCTGGCACTTCCAGGGGGTGCACAGCCAATCTCAGGGGGTGCATGTGCACCTGCAGGCACCCCCTATGTGTTGCCAATGTAGGACAAGCAGAAGTAGCAGAGACTCTATTTACTGACTGGGGCTGGTTCAGCAACATGGAAATCCAGTTGAAATTAATCAGAGACAGGATTATTTTCATTCCCCTCCACTCCAATTTGTCCACATCGTCTCTGTAGTGGGGGGCCCAGAACTGGACACAGTACACCAGATGTGGCCTCACTAGTGCTGAATAGAGGGTAAGAGTCATTTCTTTCAATCTTATGGCAATGCTCTTATTAATTCAGCCCAATATGCTGTTACCTGCCTTGCAACAAGGGCACACTGTTGTTTCATATTCAGCTTATTGTCCACTGTAACCCCCAGGTCCTTTTCTGCAGAGCTGCTGCCGAGCCAGTCAGTCCCCAGCCTGTACCGGTGTGTGGGACTGTTCCACTCTAAGTGCAGGACTTTGCATGTGTCCTTAAGGAGGCTCATATTGCATTTATTTTGGTCCAATCCTCCAATTCTTTTGGAGGATATTTCTTTTGACCTAATCTTCCAATATGTGCTATATGCTATAGCACAGTGTAGAAATCTGAGGCTCTCCACAAAAAGTCTGAGGTTTACACAGGAATTTGCATAGTCCTCCCACTCAGAACCTGCTTATCCTCTTTGGTTCGTGCCTGACATGCCTTTAATGTTAAAGAAAATCCAAAGGGAAAAGTAAATATTGGGAGGCAAACTGCCATTTCTTAATCCAATTCCTATGGCTGCCTGGCCTTTTGGAAGCATTCCTTCATCCCCATACCCTGTTCTTACTACACTAGATGTTTAGGAGTGCAATTTCTGGATTGCAGTCCGTGTTTAATGCACCCACACCATCCTTGGATGCCTCCAAATCATACCTTGTGTGGATTAAGACACATTCCCTCCTTGGCACTGGGGATTAGCCTCTCATAGTCTCTCTCTAAGTCTGTACTTGAGCTTCATTTTGTCTTTGAAATCTGAACAAAATGTTTCTTCACCCCCTCTCATGATTATCTTCCCCTTCCTCTTTGAATTAGGACAGAGCTGGCTGAATTCGAGCTCCATTTTGGACACTAGCCAGAGGTCCCAATTGGGCACTGTAGCAGGGCACTAAGGTGCCTGCTACTGGAGACAGTGTTACGAGCTTAGCTGCCAATCACCAGGGCAGCTCAGGTGCGGGTTGCCGTGACAACCGGTCTGGTCAGCTGACAGGAAGGGGGCAGGGCCTGGCCTTTATAAACAGCATAGGCTGAGGCTAGAGCCTAGTCCCCCTTTGGCTGCCAAGGAGGTAGGAGCTTGAGAAAACCCTGATGGGGCTGTATACAGAAACAAGCCAGGTTGGCTGGGAATTTATGTTATAGCCCAGGGGTTTTGTGCTTATGGTTTTGGTTGCTGTGTCACCAGAGGATAGGGTGAGGCTGTAGGGGTTGGAGGAGGCCTCAATGGGGTGTCCTGACCCCAGCCCAGTGTGGGCGGTTATTGGGAGGAGCCCCAGTGGGGCATGAGACCCAGGAAAGGGGTCTGGGGGCTAGGTAAGGCTGAGGCCACCTGAGCCCCAATTGGGAGGAGCCCAGTAGGCATAGGACCTGAGGAAGGGGTCTGGGGCCAGGTAAGGCTGAGGCCACCTGAGCCCTGAGGGCGAGAAGCATGAGCAAGGCCCGAGAGTGGGTGGGGAGTGCGAGAGATGCGAGACAGACCCCAGTTCAGGTGAGAGCGTGAGCATGGAGGGACAGGCCCCAGTGGGGCAGTGTCTGTACATGAGGAGCCCCAGGAGGGGGCGAGCTTAGTTGAGGACAGAGGAGCCCCAGAAAGGGGGTGAGCTTATTGAGGAGCCCCAGAAAGGGGGTGAGCTTATTGAGGAGCCCCAGAAAGGGGGCGAGTATCGGGAGGCGTGAGCATCAGAGGCACCGTGCCAGGGAGGGAGAAAGGCAGCTTCCCTTCAATGAACCAAACATCAAAGATGTGGCGGGCGAGTTATTGAGGGTGCATCAGGAAACCTAATCTGGCAGGGAAGGTAGGGGCGCTAGGGGAGGTCATGGATCCCCAGGCCCCATCCTGCCACAGGCACCATAACCTGCTTACTCAGTCCCCTAGCTGGCTCCATGTTCTGTCCCTGTTGCAGGGGCAAGCTCCTGCTCTCCACAGGGCAGCTATCTCTAGGAGGCCCTTTCTTTCTCCCTCGAGGTTATGAACCTGATGCACCTCACTCACCAGATGAACCCTTTACAAAACCTGCAACGTGATGTCCTTATGCCAGCTCTCACTCAAGTAAGTTTTTGTCACTGGCTGTGTTGACCCCCTTGGCTGGGGACAGGTAATTGCTGTGCCTCCGTGCAGCTGCACAAGCTCCTGTTCCCGTGGCTGTCCCCTTTCCTCAGTGAACACATCAAGCTCACTTCCAGTAGAATGGAACAAAGCAATATTTCCAGGAGTGATGTAAAACTTATCTGGACATGAAGAACAGCATCTCATACATTGATATACAATGTGCATTTGTAGGAACCACTCACTGAGAATTAAAATGCACAGCAGCTTTTTTTTACAGCACACAGCAATCTTATAATATATTTTTGAAAAAAGGGATGAATAAATGTCATGGCATATTGCTTTACACCTGGACTATCACCAAAATAAAAGTGTTTTCTTAGCTGAAACCTTGTACAGAACTATGGTTTGCATCTGATCTACCAGGTGACATCTCTAACAGCAGAGTGCCTTCCTGCATCGTTATGGAGAATTGTTTCAGTAGGGCTAGAGAGGGGAGTTTGCCATATGTTGCATCATCAATACTATCTCTTAGACACAGAGCAGATGACTTTTCTAGTTTAAACAGATGTATTAAACAGTGCATATTCTTCACTGAGTCCATTTACAATAATTTCGGGTTAGGTAATTAGGGATGCAGAAGACAGGCAGAACCTAGGATCAAAGAACCACAAGCCATGTGATGGAACAGTCCACCTAAGTACTATGGGGTCTGATAGGCATCAGGACAGGGGGGGTACCAAGGGCACATATTGGGGGGCTAAAGTACCTCTATATCAATGCTAGGAGCATGGCGAACAAGCAGGAGGAATTCACACTCCTGCTTGCAAACAAAGACTTTGACCTGATTGGATTAACTGAAATCTGGCTGGATGCTACCCATGATTGGGCAGTAGGCATTGAGGGCTATAGGCCATACAGATGTGACAGAGTGGGAATAAAGGGGTGGGAAGTGTTGCTTTCTATGTTAAGGAACAATACATGTCCTCTATAATCAGGATGGAATCAGAAGAGGGGCAAATTGAGGTTCAGAATACAAGAAGGTCGGAGGGGTGGGGGTGGGAAGGGACTTGATAGTGGGGGTGTATTACAGACCACCACACCAGAAGGATGAGCTAGACCTGGAATTCTCAAGGCAGCGCACTCAAGGGACATGGCTGTCATGGGTGACCTAAACTACCCCAACATCTGCTGAGAGGAGCAGTCAGCTAGATCTAACCATTCATGTAGGTTCTTAACCTGCATACAGGACCTAATGCAGGAGTTATACAGTCCCATCAGGGAAGATGCCTTACTGGACTTGGTGTTTGCTATAGATGATGACCTGGTGGGAGATCTGCAGATACAGGGTAACCTAGGGGATAGTGACCACCAATTGTTAGAATTCACTGTTCGGCAAAAGGTGGGAAAGATAACCAGTAGGGCAGAAGTGCTAGACTTCAGAAAGGCTAACTTCAATGAGCTCAGGAGATTAGTAAATGAGGCATTGAAGGACAAGAGCACTGGTGAGATGGGAGTCCAGGAAAGGTGTTTGTTCATCAAGGGAACAATCCTTTGGGCACAGAAGAGGACAATCCCATT